CGCTCCTCGCTGGACTGTCTATTCTCGCAGGCGTCTAACCGGCTACTACTGAGACGGACGGGGGCAGCTACACAGCAGTGAGTCCGCGTTGTCGCCGCAAGTTGTATAGTGGACATGAGCTAGCAAAACAATTAAATTGTTCAGAATATTTACTGGCTACACGGAATTTTTCAATTTGTTTTCGCTTCATGTTTACCACATTTGAAAACCATCAAGCAAGTCCGTTATTAGTCGACACAACGCAGCGGCCTCGCCGCGGATATACACGACAAAAGCATCCAACCCCCGTGGGGAGAGGAGTGGTGGGGAGAGTGGAATGACTGCGCCTCACTGCTTCGAAGGGTCGCATCAGCAATCTGAAAGATCAAATGAAGCAGCTTTTGAAACCTGAGCAACAAGCTAAAGGATGCTTGTGGGTATCTTAACGAATTTGGTTTTTTGAGTTGAACGACGAAACGACCTAGCTTAATGAACCTCTTTACCTCCAGTATTGACGTTCTTAACTGTGTGAGAGTCATCCAGAAATCGAAAGTATTGGGTTGGCCAATAGGTAATGGCGTCTTTTTTTCTAGTTGGAGATTCGCTTCAAAGATCGAAAGCTCAACAAATGAGTTTTATCCTATCTGATAGAAAATTCTTCACGCCACAAGGTAGTAAAAGCATGAAGGATAAAGTCTTTGATCAATCCTATTGGCCAACCTAATACATCGGCACGCATCCCACTTTCACTCAAAATCGTAGTGGCTTATTGAATGCGATGTGGCCTATACAAGGACTTGTGGTGAACAGCCGATGTACAAATCAGCTATCTTATCCTTATTCGGTACCATTTTACCGTTCCCACGGGGTAGCAGGCTTGGTTGCCTGTGCGAGAGTCGACCCAGGATTTGAACCGGGAACGCGCGAATAAGAGCGCCACCCGCCATCACACTACCTCCGCCTCGACTAGGGCCATAAGCTGTAGGCCTACTTTTTTTGAAGATTCTATTTGCACTGATTCAAGTGCCTAAAACTGAATGTCAAGTTCAGCATTTGATAACTTCTCCTTTTCGTGGCAAGCTTTGAAAACGGCTTGTTGCATGATGTAGGTGTCCATGCAAGGACCACAAAGGTGGGGTTCATCTTTGCTATACGGTACTGGAAATGCCAAAAAAATGGCTCGAAATAAACTCTAGAAGAATGAACCACCTTATTCAGCTCCGTTTCAGCTATATAGTTGAGAGCGTATAGTTTATGAGGTGAACTTTGAGTAGACATGAAAAACAACGCAGAATCGAAATCCAAGCACCGTAGATTGGGAGTCCGTCGCTCTATCCACTACACCATCCGACCACTGCGACGGGTGAGATGCGGGAGCCATTGGAGAATTATGCGGGGATGACAAAGAAACTTCAATGTAGCTTGTCACATGCCAAGTAAACTAGCTCGGATTTTCACACTATTTTGCCTTGTTTTCATGCCTATTCTAAGCACACCTCATAAGCTATAACTCATAACGCTACAGCTAGAACGGAGCTGAATGAGGTGGTCTAAGTAAGTCGCCTTTTCTTGTCGAATTTTTCTCCTTTTTTGACATTCCCAATACCGTTTAACAAAAATGAACCCCATCTGTGTGGTCCTTGTATTTAGCTCTACATTATGCAGCAGACCAGTTTGGAAAAGCTGACCACGACCTGAACGGCTCCTCTCGGTAGGAAGATCTAAGTGGGTTTAGACGATTCGAAGATTTTGATTAAAAAGACAAACATAACACCGGATGCTTTATTGATTTCGATTCAGAGCTCACTAGATCAGCTTTTTTTCAAGGAGGTCCATACCAAAGGATGGGGCATAGGAAGATGTCATAGAAGACTCCTGCCTTCTCAACGCTATCACATCACCTATAGCAGAGTATCAAAATTTGGTGGACGGGTCTCGGGCGTTTATTCCCTAAGACGGAACCCTTGCGATGCGCATTAACAAGGTCCAAACTCCCATTCATTATGCGTTCCTACCGAATGCAGTTATTTTTGAGAAGCATCATTCCGTGCTCGTATGCACCACAAGTTTTCGGCTCCTCTGGCAGTTATGACAGCGCCAAAGAATAAGTTCAAAAAGTTGGTGTCAAAAACTTTCACTTGTGTCGACCCGACTTTCCTTAATGAACTAAAAAATAACGAAATCCAAAAATGAGTGAGAAAACATGCTTATTGCTTTATAGAGCAGGAAATTGTGCATCAAACAGCACAGAAAGAAGAAAAATGCCGTTACTCATGGCCAACCCGATATAGAGGTATTTTACTACAAGATGACGAACATCAGTTTCATCATATTTTTAGCATTATCCGTTGTTGAACTCCCTACCCGCGACGTTCTCATTGTGATTATTGTATTGTCCCGCTTTTAATATCTACAGCTGAATCATTTTGTGTGCCGTGCCCCTCCCTAATTTTATTTATTTCTGCACTTTATAGCAACTCCTCTGCACCGAAGTAAGAGAATAAAACACTGCTGCTGCTCGACATTTTGCTGGGGACCAGATTTCAGAAATCAAGCAGGAGATCTTCGAGAAGCATATTTTTCCGTTGATAAGCTACTGCTTTGCAGCGGTTGATTAGATTAATTGAAAGAGGCGTAAAGAAGCAGTAACATGGGCTGACTCACCCTTCTGTCAGCAATAATTGTGCAACACTATAAAAAACTATCTTGAAAGGCAGAATTCGCAGAATCAAAGTTTGCAGGAAGCGGAGTTAGAAACACAAAAGTGTAATGCGCGCTATCTGACTATGGTCAGCGTTATGATACCCGAGAAGAACGAAAGAGAGAAAGTTGTCGAAAACACCCCTAGTAAGGCCCCATTAGTCCCAAGCGAGAGATAAGGAGTCGCGGTGAATATCAAGCGAAGAGAACAGAGCAATGGGCAGCGAGAAGAGCTGCCAGCGAGAATAAGCTTGTAACGAAGATCGTTACATTCTTATCACTGTTAACGGGGAGCTATTTGAGCAACCTTGTGCCTACCGCCACTCTTGACGCGAAAATTGACAGGGTTTGTTGCAGTTTACAGTAGCGGAAGAACTTGGGTGATTGAAAGGGCTTGCGGGCTCCCTGCTCCAGAGCTTCACACCCTCTAGAAGCAGTAACATGGGCTGACTCACCCTTCTGTCAGCAATAATTGTGCAACACTATAAAAAACTATCTTGAAAGGCAGAATTCGCAGAATCAAAGTTTGCAGGAAGCGGAGTTAGAAACAAAAGTGTATGCGCTATCTGACTTGCCCGAGAAGAACGAAAGAGAGAAAGTTGTCGAAAACACCCCTAGTAAGGCCCCATTAGTCCCAAGCGAGAGATAAGGAGTCGCGTGAATATCAAGCGAGAGAACAGAGAATGCAGCGAGAGAGCATGTAAGCGAAGATTGTACTTCTATCACTGTGAACGGAGCTATTTGAGCAACCTTGTGCCTACCGCCACTCTTGACGCGAAAATTGACAGGGTTTGTTGCAGTTTACAGTAGCGGGAAGAACTTGGGTGATTGAAAGGGCTTGTGGGCTCTGCCTCCAAGAGCTTCACACCCCCTACAATTCCTCATGATAGGTAGACAATATGTTTCTACGGTGTAGTACAGGCCATGAGAGTCGCGGCCCTCTGCGCAATTGACGGAGTGTCTCCCAGCTCGTAGACTTGAACAATGCAGCAGGTCCACGTTCAGTTCAATGGGTCGTGCTGCGAACGCCATGCTTGCGGTACCATTTGTGACCGCCCTGTGGCTGTCGTCGCAACTCGGCTGTGCTGACCCAGGTTTTTGTGTGTTGAATCATCACGAAGTCATCGCGCCGGTGTTTTTATGTTAGGTGAATCACGCTAGCGCTTTGAATCTATGAAGTTTTTATATTGATGTTATACCGTGCATGGATTTTTTTCTGACCAGTATAGTTACAATGAAACTTCTTTGTTATTGTAGAAATGTTTTACCTTACTTTTTGATTCAAAAACGAAAGAAAAAAGGTAGTATAGAGGGGGCCAATAAAAAAGACACTTCGGCCGAGTCACATATCAGCAAAGTTTTCGCAGCCCAGAGAGAAGACGTGGATACGAGTACCAGGGCGGAAGATACCCAAGATGTTCCTCGATAAGCAGGAGCAGGCTCTCGCCCATCACCTTCATGTACACCAAAATATGAAGTCATCTCCAATCGCAGCCGGACTGGAGAAGGCCTATGGAATTCACGTCACCTCCAACAGCTGCGAAACTTCTTGTATGGAGTCACCCATGGACAGCTACCTGGAGACCAGCACTCTTGATCTGGAAGACCTCCAACATCGAGCAGCTCCGACAACGTCGCTACGGTCCAGGATATCATCTTCACCGCAGTCGCCAAGGCGCGGGTTGATGGTATGGACCGGAAGTTCCTGGAATGGGGAACCGATATTTTCTTCGTGGACCCCGGGCTGAAGGTGAACGCTGACGGTTATATCGACCAACTCGAGGAGAATATCCTGCCTTCATGTCGTCGCCTGTACCTTCTTACAGGATTGGTGCCACCACATGGAATCGAAGGGCGTTGGAAAAACTCTCGCCTACTTGGAATGGAAGGGCGTTGAGTACCTGAAGAAGACGGAATATCCAAGTGTGTCACCTGACCTAAACCCCCTCGATTACCGGGTTCGGGCGGAGCTCAACAGGGTGGTCTACAGTGGCGGAGAATCAACGGCTTCGCTGAACTCAGGCACCGAATCACGGTCGCGTGGCAGAATCTCTCGATGGCGCTCGTCCCTGTAGTGGAGTTTCTTGATAGTGTACAATGTGTTGTTGAATCTGATGGTAAAAATATCCAATCACAATTGAGGAAAGTGTAACTTGTAACGCCTTGAATGTCGAGGAGGAAAAGTGTCGTTCCTTTGGCCCTCCTGTATAAGCGGCGAAGCAATCTTAGATCAGGAATTGGCAGCCCAGCGTGTAAATTCTACCACACACACACACACTTCTGTTTTAGTCTCTCGCCTTCTCCAGGTACAAAAAAAACTGTCATTCTTCTGATGAAATACTTTGCTCACCTCCTTTAACGCGGACCATACGATCAACGTCGCTATGCGATGATGGCGGTGGCTGGTCGTCGTCATCTGACCGCTTTGTCGATTCCAATTCGATAACTTCGAGATCATGGAGTTGGGAGTTCAGCTGGCGGCGTTTCTCGACGAGAAAGCACAACTTGCACTTGCAATCCGCGTAAGGACATTCGCACTGAAATCATTCTCAAGTAACCCTTCCTAGTAATTGATCTTTTTCCTACGTTTTCATGGAATCTTCTAAGGCAACGAATCCGAAAAAGTTGACTTAACAAGGCTTAGGCATAGTTTTTTTTTCGTCAATGAAGTATAAAGGATAAACTCCGCCGTTGGTCACCCCCTTTTTTGATGCGGCACGCATTCTACTTCCATTCAGAATCGTAGTGGCTTATTGAATGCGATGTGGCCTATACAATGACTTGCGGGGCCAGCCGATGTACAAGTCAGCCTTCTTACCCTCCCGGCCGAATTTGTTCCCCGTAGGATAGAAGGTTTGGTTGGCCTAGCGGGAGGCGGTCCTGGATTTGATCCTCGAACCGTGCGCGTGGTAAGCATGCCACTTGCCACTACACCACCTTTGCCCAAAATTACCAGTTTACCGTTAAATTGCGTTCACTTTTCGAAGCCCATTGTCTGGTCTCGTGCCCACACGTTGGGCAACTCGGGACATTGGCTTCTTGGCGTGCTCTTCTTGAAAATTCCATATCAAAAGCGTCCTGTTTACTGCCTTTTCGACAGTTTCTTCAAGCCCCCTCATGCTTCTAAGTGAAACAGCATCCATAAGCTCGTGCTGAGAACAGCAACCATTGGGAGGAACTTTTGATCTATTCGCCATTTTTTTAAGAACAATCTTGTCATGTATTGTATCGTGCTTTTTTATAGGAGTTCAATGGATTATCCACTATCAGT